AAAAAAACAAAACAAAAAAAGGATTGCTCCAAAAAAAAAAAAGATACAATAAAACTGGAAAAAAGAATAGAGCTATTAAAAATTGAATAAACATAATAATACAGGAAAAAAAGACAAAGAAACCTAACACCAAAAGATCAACCAAAAAAAACAGGTGAAAATAAAGATTAAAAAAGTAGAAATGAAAGAGAAACGAAAATGTAAAGAAAAGAAATAAAAAGAAAGGTTAAAAAATACATTGAAAACAATGAAACAGGAAAAGAAAGAGGAAAAATATGAAAATTGAAATAAAGAAAAAAATCCTAAAGATGACAATGCAATCTTAATTCTTTTAAAGTCTTCGATAAAATGATACCACGCTAAATTAAAACACTGGAATAAAACTAAATCAAACGTTAACAAAGAGACAAACTACAGGTGGAAAAGGTTCATTCACACAGATGAAAGTCTCACAAAATGGTGTTCAAGCTACATGAATTCATAACCTACTGAGGTGCTAATATCTTAACTGATCAAGGATATGCTTTGAGCATGTGACAGGTGGCCCTGCGCGAGGCTCTGAAGGCCGAGCGGAGAGCCCGGTACAGGACCTTCCTGAGGCCAATTAGCTGCTGGCTGCGGGGCACCGCCCCGGGCCCCGCCCTGCTAAAGGATCCGGCCGCACTCACCCTGTCGAGCAAACTTGACAAGTGAAATGTGATACAACTGTGGAGACGTCCCAAAGAGGTGGGGGGCACACACAACACATAAGACGAACAGTACGACGATTTGATGATTCACACAATTAAAATTAAAGCTAAAAATGTGGAATCTGTATCATTAATACCAACTGGAATTACTTTAACAGTGATTCCGAAGCCTGAATGTAGAAGTATGTCCCTGAACACGGTAAAGACACCTGTAATCAACAATTGGACGAGGTAAAGCGAAACAAGCACACTTACAGGGTGAACCCTCTGGAGATGACCTCTGTCTCCTGCACCAGACGCAGAGCTTTTCGGGCCAGTCCCGTCAGAGTTTTGCTGTTATGGACCAGAGTCTGGAGCCGGTTGGCCCTGGTTTGGACGTCCTTCTGCATGCGTCGGCGTCTCCACAATACCAGGCCCCTCTTTCCCATCCAGCCCAGCAGAGCCAGACCCCACGGCGCAGCAGCCAGAGACCACAGGCTCCCAGAAGAGGAACAGACTCCTAACAGCATGGCAGCCACTCCCACCAGCCCCGCTACGTCCCTGATTGGAGAGGAAAATACAGGTTTAGGGGTGGAAAGGTTAGAAGATGGTGCACACCAGGGTTCTAAACTGGGTCCAATTCGTTTATATTTTAGGATGTATATCAATGATTTTTATAATCTTTGGACTAAGTAATACATACAATTATTAGAAGTTGTTACCGTAGTTACTAGGGATGCACGATATTGGGATTTTGGGCGATATCCGATATGCCTATATTTTAAAACTCATGTAGCCGATAACCGATATC